CAGCATCCCACTTCCAGAGCAAGAGGAGAGCCAGCACCAGGGGAAGAGCAGAGCTGGCACCCACAACCCTGGCAGCAGCAAGCAAAGAGCCACACTTGAAAGCCCGGCTCACCGCGAGAGGACACTGCAACCTCTGCTGGGTGGTGTTGAGAGCACGGGGTCCCAAGTCAGACCTCCAGGTTCGAGTCCCATCTCTGCCACTTGGGAGCTGTGTGACCTGAAGTGAGTTACCGAACCTCTCTGTGCCTCAGTTTTATCATCTATCAAAGGGGAGAAAAATAATCTCCATCTCCTGGGGTGGCTGTGGTGTAAAACGAGTTAAAATAAAGCACTAAGAATAGTGCCTTGGGTTTTACTAAGCCGCTTTTTACCTAATTTTACAGACTAGAATTTTTTACCTAATTTTTAAAACTGAAGTTTTTACCTAATTAAAAAGGTTAGAATTCTCTGCATCTCTTTGATATACTCACCCCAGATTTATCATGGGATTCTCGTTGAACATGATGTTCCCAAAGAAACATCAAAATCACAAAAGTGGTCAGAAACATTGCATATGAGGGTCATATGTGAAGCTCCTAGCAGTATACATACTCTTTCAAAATGTATGTAGGAGGAAAATACAAGAATTTCAAAATTGAACAAAGATTAATGTTCAGATACATTATGTCATTGGTCTAAATCTCTAAAAGAATATTTCTGTTCCCAAAGTGAACAGAAAGTATGTATTTCTAGCCACAGTTCTTTCAACCCTTAAGTAGTCAAGACACTAGATATTTATCACAGACACTGCATTTGAGCATTAAAAACAGTACTTTGCTCCATCAAGGGTCCTTCAAAGGCAGTTTATTTACATCACCTCTCTGATTCCACAGCAGATACACTGAGGAGAACGGGATGATTGTATTATTGCTCAGTCTTACTCCCAAGTGTATCTTTAGTTCTTTGCTAAAATTTGTCCACATTCAAATATTAATTACTTCCAAGTATTATTCTAGATTAGTAGTCTGGTTTCATTATTAATTTTCTAATATTAATTTTTCTTATTTTATAACTAGCACATACACATGTTACACAGGTTTTATTTGCTTCCTCTAATTCATTCTCCACTGATCACAGCCCCAGGATGGAAGTATCAAGGTGTTTCTTAACTTATTGGTACTGACGATGTTGTTTGTATTTCCATGTGTTTTTGGCATGTGGCCTTTTCTTATATTTAATATTCAGAAAATTTGCAAGCTTGTATTATTTTGGGTTTAAGGGTGAAGCAATAGTGTGTCCATGGAAGTTGGTAAAAGATGCATCAGGAATATCAGGCATGACATCATATTAAACCAGAATCCCGTGATAAACCTAGGTAGAGAATATCAAAGAGAAGTGATGAATTCTAATTTTTTTATAATTTGGTAAAATTCACTTGTGCATGCTAAGTTACTTAAGTCATGTCTGACTCTTTGTGACCTCATGGACTGTAGCTTGCCAGGCTCCTCTGTCCATGGGATTCTCCAGGCAAGAATACTGGATTAGGTTGCCATGCCCTTGGGCTTCCCCTGGTTTGATTCCTGGATCTGGAAGATCCACTGGAGAAGGGATAGGCTACCCACTCTAGGTTTCTTGGGCTTCCCTTGTGGCTCAGCTGGTAAAGAATCTGCCTGCAATGTGGGAGACTTGGTTTCGATCCCTGGATTGGGAAGATCTCCTGGAGAAGGGAAAGGCTGCCCACTCCAGTATTCTGGCCTGGAGAATTCCATGGACTCTATAGTCCATGGGGTCACAAAGAGTTGGACATGACTGGGTGACTTTCACTTCCTCCAGGGAATCTTCCCGACCTAGGGACTGAACCCGCATCTCCTGTACTGCAGGCAGATTCTTTACTGTGAAACCACTGGGGAAGCCCCAAAATTCATGTGTACATATAAAAAAAATAATGCTTGGTAAAGCCCAGGCACTATACTTGGTGCTTTAACTCATTTTATCCCACAGCCACCCAGGAGGTAGAGACTTATTTTTATCCCCCTTTGGTAGATGATAAAACCGAGGCACAGAGGGGTTCAGTAACTCACTTCAGGTCACACAGCTCCCAAGTGGCAGAGATGGGATCAAACCTGGAGGTCTGGCTTGGGACCCCGTGCTCTCAACACTCCCAACAGAGGTTGCAGTGTCCTCTCGCGGTGAGCCGGGCTTTCAAGTGTGGCGCTTTGCTTGCTGCTGCCAGGGTTGTGGGTGCCAGCTCTGCTCTTCCCCTGGTGCTGGCTCTCCTCTTGCTCTGGAAGTGGGATGCTGGGCTTTGTGGGCGCGATGCAGATGCAGCCGCGTGGAGGAGGCGGCCCCTCACTGACTCAGGAAGCCAGCAGAGTGAAGGAGCTGTGGCTGTTCTGCAGAAACTCGGGGGATCTCCTGGATCGTTCGTTCTGCTTTTTCCTTTTGTTTGTTGTTGAATTCCCCCCCTTATCTCTGCTCTTCTGGTGGGTGCAGACAAACCCCAAGTCATCCATAACTGATCGTGGTCCAGCGAATCGCATGGTGAGTGTATTTTGTGTATATATCAGCATGCTTTACATCCTTTCTGGTGGCTCAGAAATGAAGAATCTGCCTGCCATGTAGGAGACTTGCGGGAAACAAGGGCTCTATCCCTGGGTTGGGAAGGTGCCCCGGAGAAGGAAATGACAATGCACTCCATTATTCTTAGCTTTCCTGGTGGCTCAGATGGTAAAGAGTCTGCCTGCAATGCAGAAGACCCAGGTTCGATCCCTGGGTTGGGACAATCCCCTGGAAAAGGAAATGGCAACCCATTCTAAAATCCTGGAGAGTTCCATGGACAGAGAAGCCTGGGGGGCTACAATGCCCGGTGTCGCAAAGAATAGGACAGGACAGAATGGCTAACACTTTCACTTTCAGCGTGCTTTTGCTTCCAAAAGCCTGCACCTACCGGCCTTCTGCAGAGCCTGCCATGGGCTGCTGGGCCCTTCCATGAACACCAACAGAGCTTGCACAGCCCTGGGGGGCCTTGGCCAATGGCTGATAAGTCAGAGCTCTGAGAGACCAGCTCCTAGGCATTCAGGCAGGACAAATCGAAGGCATAAGTGACACTCCAGAGTACTGTACAGCGATGCTCCTTGGAGCTTCATCTCAAATTGCACCCCAGCTAACTTCTCCTGTTCCTTGTTTCGCCTTCCCCACCGCCCTCCTGGTTTCTCTTGGGGGCATCTTAACAAAAGTGAAATGTGAAGATCACTCATTTGTGTCTGACTCTTTGCAACCCCAGGGACTATACAGTCCGTGGAATTCTCCAGGCCAGAATACTGGAGTGGGAAGCCTTTCCCTTCTCCAGGGGATCTTCTCAACCCATGATTGAACCCAGGTCTCCCTCATTGCAGGCAGATTCTTTACCAGCTGAGCCAGCAGGGAAGCCCAAGTCTTAATAAAAGTCTTCACCCAAATCCCCGCCTCAGGGTCTGCTTCGGAAGAACCCAAGCAGGAGGAAGGAGTGGGCTTAAGTGGAGAGCAGAGTGGTGTCCGTGAATGGGAGGGGAGGCAGGGCGAACTTGGGTGTGGGACAAGAAGGATCTTTCTGGGTGTTTCTATGATCTCAGTCATTAAAAAGACTGTCTCCCACAGACATAGAGAATAGACCAGTGGACACAGCAGAGGAAGGAGAGGGTGGGATGCATTGAGACAGTAACACTGAAACGTATACTTTACTACATATAAAATAGATAAGCCGGTGGGAGTTTGCTTTATAACACAGGAGTGCAACCCGGTACTTTGTGACATCCGAAAGGGGTGGGATGGGGTGGGAGGAGGGAGGGAGGTTGAAGAGAGAGGGGACATAGGGATACCTGTGGCTGAATCACATTGTTGTATGGCAGAAATCAACATGATATTGTAAAGCAATCATCCTCCCATGGACAATTTTAAAAAGAGAGAGGAGAATTCCTTGATTAATAGAGGTAAGGCAGTTTCGATGGTTTCTAATAGCTGAGAGAATAAACACACTCTATGGAAAAAAATACAAAGTCTCCAGTTGCTAGGGAGTAAGAGGGGTGTGAAACAATTGGCTGCAAGCGTCAGAGCGTGACTGCTGTGAGGAAATCTGGTGAGACTTCTAGGCAGTGGGCATTGATGTTCACCAGCCACATCGGCTTCTCAGTGCAGGCTTGAGAAGGTGGGGGGTTGGACTGACCAAGATTGGGGTTATTATAGGAGAGTAGGCTGAAGCGTGGAGGGAGCTATCCTGGTGGCTCAGACGGTAAAGAATCTGCCTGCAATGCAGAAGACCTGGGTTCGATCCCTGGGTCAGGAAGAACCTCTGGAAGCGGGAATGACAACCCACTCCAGTATTCTTACCTGGAGAATCCCATGGACAGAAGAGACTGGTGGGCTACAGTCCACGGAGTCACAGTCGGGCACAACGGAGCAACTAACACTTTCACTTTTCAGGCTGGAGGGAGAGAAGTTGAAGAGTGTTGGGGCAGATGAAGGGGGGGTGGTTATGATGATGAAGGACCTTTGATGGATACAGAAGGAAATGACAACATTGGAGGGGTGACCTAGGAAAGTGAGTGAGAACAGTGGATTGTAGATCCTGGTGAAGTTCGAGTTGTCGGTGGAGTGGTCACAGGCTGTTATGATGGGAAGTGTTGGGCAGCTGGTGGGGCACCCAGAAGAGAGGCTACAGAAGTGATGAGGTGATCATCATGTCAGGGTCAAAAGTGGGAGGCTGGCATGGAGGAGAGAGTCAGACCACCAACTGTTAGAGGCTCGACTCTCTGAAACCTAGTAACTAAATGTTTAGATATTCTACACATTTGCCTTTTAAATTTGTTTTTGCTTGTTTTTCAAGACTTTAGCAAAGGGATGAGGAGCTGAGGGTAAAACACAGAGAATGAGATGGTTGGATGGCATCACCGACTCGATGGACATGAGTTTGAGTAGGCTCCTGGAGCTGTAATGGACAGGGAGGCCTGGCATGCTGCAGTCCATGGGGTTGCAAAGAGTCGGACATGACTGAACTGAAGCTGGAACTGAAACAAGCTGCTCCCAACCTGTTCTCACTGGATCCGTACTGTGCCCTGGAAGGCGGCCATGACCCCTCCACACACACACATTTGGATGCGGTAGCTTTCACTTCACCCCAGAGTTTCTCTCAGCTTTGACTGTGAATTCTTCAGATCAGTAATCTCTAATTTCCATGGTTTTCTTCCAAGTTGGTTTGAGGGGAAAGAGCTGTGAGCCTTGTTCTCAAATAGACTTTGAGCAATTATTCCATTCTATTGTGCTTCCCAGGTGGCGCTCGTGGTAAAGAATCCGCCTGCCAATGCAGGAGATGCCAGAGACTCAAGCTCAGTTCCTGCGTTAGGAAGCTCTCCTGGAGGAGGAAATGGCTACCCACTCCAGTATTCTTTCCTGGAGAATCCCATGGACAGGGGAGTCTGGCAGGCTACAGTCCATAGGCTCGCAAAGAGTTGGACACAACTAAGCGACTGACTGAATTACTCTACACACCCTCTTGAAAGCCAGGCCTGTGTCTCTACCCTCCCCTCCTTTCTGCAGAAGTTCAATCTTTTAGAAGAAAACTCATCTCCTACAATCAAGTTAGCACTGCGAGGTCTCCTTCAGTTTTCCTGGTAACACTTAGTCTTGGCGGCCCAATGACTCTGACTAGCTTACGACAGAGTGACACCAGAAAGGAGGCAGAATCTCTTTTCTCAGCATCTCTAAACCAAGCATCACTTCCTCCATCATACATGCACATGCAGACACACATGTAGTGCACACAGGCTTGTGAGTACCTCGTATAACCCAAGGAATGATTTCCAAAGCAGAAGCACTGGCTAGGATGGCTGAACAGTAGAAGTCAAGACAAATGGGCATGCCCCATGACTCTCTCCTGGTTTTCAGATGAGATGTGACCTATGCAAGCGAATCCTCAAGCACTGTGAGGTGAGAATATACTTTTCTCCACAGTGCTGAGCATGGCAAGCAGGAAGGGGAAGGCCAAGGAGATGCTGGCAGCATCCTTTTCTGGATCCAGTGGTGGCCCTGAGACTGAGCACAGGGGTGATGCAACAGCCAACCTGGAGGGCATCTGGCAGCACTTGGGGCTTCTCTGCAAATGTTCTTCCTGCCCTCCTACCAAATACGAGTGCGGGATAAGGGAGATACTGACTGTAAAGATCTTTTCTTTCTTTTGAACATATGCCTGTGTCATGTGGCTGTAACTGAAATTTTTTGTCCAAATGGCTAAAGTTTTTGAGAACCCCCGTGAGCACAGTTAATCCCCCTGCACAAGCAACAATTTCAGCAATGAAGTTCTTAACATGAAAGGTGTTGGAAGAGTTTCTGCGATGAACTTTGCTTCATGCCTGTGAACAGAGCAGTCAATGCCACCATGAATTAACTTTTTCTCCCAGCAACTTGCCAGGTGGCACTAGTGGTAAAGAACCCACCTGCCAATGCAGGAGACATAAGAGACTCAGGTTCAATCCCTGGGTTGGGAAGGTACCCTGGAGGAGGATATGGCGACCCACTCCAGTGTTCTTGCCTGGAGAATCCCATGGTCAGAGGAGCCTGCTGGGCTACAGTCCATAGAGTCACAAAGAGTGGGACATGACTCAGAAGTATCACTTAGCAGAAGCTAAAAAAGATGGAGAAACTCCAATTTTCTCTTCAATTAAAAAAGCTTGGCTCCACTCCTGTCTTGTCTAAACATACAGTATGTATGGTTCTTTATTTACCGCCTGAAGCCTGGACTCTGCCTTTTACCAATGTCAACTATAAGTATTGCATCCACTAAATTTATTTTCCAATATTTATCCAGGTATCTGCAGAGCCAACTCCCCATTATCCGTGGTGCAGGTTACCTGGGCTCTGCAGAGCACCTCTCGGTCCCCTTGGCTGGTCCAAAGCCTCCTTCCAGTCTTCACAGCACCATGTGTTGGATGCTGGATCTATAGAGCTCCCCAAAGAGCCAGCCACCCTTACAGAGAGGGTGATAGAAAGCATTAGGATGTGGATGGAGGAAGAAGTGGGGGGGTACCTACCACATCTACTAGTTTCATTATTTCTCCTTCCTCATTGTCAATTGTTAAAATGTTAACACACATGCTTAACATGTTACCTCCAATCTTACTGAAGTTACCTGGATTATATACTATGTTCAAATTAATTTCTTCCTAAAACCTGATGCAGAACCATGAAGCCGGGAAGTTTGTAATATGTGTTCTATTTTAGGATAACATTCAGGTAAAGCCATGCAAACCTGTCTATCACTGAAAGGTTCATTTCAAGTCGTGTTAATTGAAGGCAAGTTGATTCATTTATACACAACAGTTCTCTCATTTCCCTTTGAGCAATTGTTAAGCGTGCTTGACGCAGAGCAAGTGACCTTCAAATGCTAGGCAGGGAGGTGGGGGTGTTGGTCTGGACTGTCAGTGTAGATTTGGCAGCATGAGTTGCTCCAAAGAATCCTGATTTCTTATGCATGAACTATTGACCCTGGCGCTGGGGCTGGGAGAGCAGGACGGGAAGGAAGGTGAACTCCCGCTGATTCAGGGGCCCTCCCAGGCTGTCTTTTCCACGCTGTCAGCGTTATTCACCTCACTTTCCTCTCCTCCCTCTTCCGCCCCACCATTAGTCCTGTCCCTGGAAGCACTTTTCAGTTGCCAGGAATCAGGAACATTGGGAAACCATCCAAAAAAGCTGGGTGGCTACTTTGTTTTCCATGGCCCGCACGGTAACACATGGCCCCGAGCTTAGCACCAGGTCATAGGTGCGGACACAGCATGGCTTAAAGGAAGGAACGCAGCATCAGAAAGAGAGGTCTTCCGAGGCTTGGGTACCAAACAAGCATGGGACCTGGAGACCAGCCTTCCTTACGGGCCTGTCTAGGTGAAGATGGAGAAATGTTCCCTAGGGGTTTCAGGATTTTCTCCTCCAGCTCCTTTACTTGGAGCAATGCTTCTCATTTGAAGCTGCTGGTCTGAGGACCACTTTTTCAGCAGGAGGACAGCAGGCCCCCCAGCCGTCTAATTTCCAGGAGGTGGAACTACCATGTGTGGAAGAGAGAGCTTGTGGGAACCACAGGGAGGTCAGCGTGGTGCTCTGTGGTAACCTAGAGGAGTGCGATGGCGGATGGAAGGGAACTCAACAGGAAAGGGATATATGTATGTATGCATACACCTGATTCACTTCGTTGTACAACAGAAACTAATGCAACATTGGAAAGCAACTATGTGTGTGTCCATGTTCTAAATCACTTCAGTCATGTCTGACTCTTTGCGACTCTATGGACCGTAGCCCACTGGGATCCTCTGTCCATGGGATTCTCCAGGCAAAAATACTGGAGTGGGTTGCCATGTGCTGCTCTAGGGGATCTTCCCAACCCAGGGATCGAACATGCGTCTTCTGCACTGGCAGGCAGATTCTTTACCACTGAGGCACCTGGGAAGCCCCTTAAAGCAACTAAACCCCCACCTTGCCCCCCCCCCAAAAAAAAACAGGGAGGAAATCCCCAGAAGTCAATGTGCCTGCCCACTGAGGATCATGGGAAATGCCCTTGAAACCAATATCAGGTCCTGAGCTGAAGAAACGTCTCCTGTCTTGGCTTTCAAAATATTGCAAATGTTCCGCTGTGTAAGAAACACGTCAAACGCCTCCACTGGAAAAACAGGCTTCAGAGGCAAAACGGTGCCCGTTGCCCTTGATTTGTTCAAGCTGCTGCCTGGGGACCAGTTGTTGCATTTCATTAGCTCTCTGATGACAGGTGTAGCTCAACTGTATGTCAAGCAGCAAGGAACTCAGTTCTGTGAGCAAACATCCCTTGTTCACATCTGACAAGTCTTTCTATTAAGTAGTGAGGTGATGAAACCTTCCTAGCTCCTCTCTCACTGGACACCTCATCCCCTCACCTGCCTCTGACTCTCTCATCCTCTAACCTGGTTGCATGGATGCAGAAACTGCAGATTCCTTCTGCCAGTGCCTTGGTCATTCAAAGATGCCCCTATAGGTGGCCCATGAACAGTCCTGTGTGTGAGCACATGGCTGTTACTGACAGAGTGCCATGGGTGGTGAGCAGTTCTTTTCACACTTCAAATCTTTGAGCTTATCCTGTGAGGTGCGTGGGGAGCACCTGTTGGCCTGCTCCCCTCCTCCCCCGCCATCTGAGATTCTGCCTCTTAGACCCCTGGGCAGGGAGAAGCCCTTTTTCTCTCCTCTTAAAGCACCAGCTCATTCCTGACTTCTGTGTGTCAAGGTGGTATGTCTGCTCTGCTTGTTAAGATAGTCATTAGATTGCTGTATAAGAGAAACTAACACAACGTTGTAAAACAACTATATTCCAATACAAATTAATTTAAAAATAAGGGAAAAAAATACTCTTAAAAAAAAAATGCTCCTTGGGAGTAGCCAATATGATCATCCATTTAAGGGAATTCCCTGATGGTCCAGTAGTTAGTACTCCAAGCTTTCACTGTTGAGGGTCTGGGTTCAATCCCCATTCATGGAACAAAGATCCCACAAGCTACTCGGTGCAGCCAAAAAAAAAAAAAGATCAGTCATGTAAGTATTTTCTGCATTCTACTTTAACAGTAAAGAGGCCAGGCAATCCAAGGAAACAAACATCTAATGACTTTTGAAAAAATAAACAAACAACAAAACATCTTCCAGAATGAGTTGATTTCAACACAGGTTTAACCTGGTTTCTTACACTTGCTTTACTAACTCAATAACCTTACCTGATGTTTAGAAAAAGCAGTTATTCTAGGACCCCTCACCAAACATCAGAAAGCACTAATAAATTCAATATTTTACCTGAAAGCAGGAAATCAAACTAAGTTTTTAGAAATAAATAGCAACTAACAGAGTGACTAGCAAAGAAAGAGAGGGACTGATGCATCCTTAGGGAAAAGCTCATTTTCTGATGAGTATAACAGCGAGCCCAGTTGCTCAGTTGAGTCCAACTCTGTGCGACCCTATGGACTGTAGCCCACCAGGCTCCTCTGTCCACGGGATTCTCTAGGCAAGAATACTGGAATGGATTGTCATGCCCTCCTCCAGGGGATCCTCCCAACCCAGGGATCGAACCCGCAACTCTTTTGTCTCCTGCATTGGCAGGCAGGTTGTTTACCATTAGCACCACCTGGGAAGCCACCTATCCTCATAATGGTCATAAACACAGCCCGCTTATCATTACTCAAGGTTTCTGACACCCATATCACCATTCTTCCCAGCAGCCCAGAGACGTGGGTCTTCTTATTCTCCTTTATCCACATAAAGACTGGAGATCACCCGACAAACTGCCTGGTCTTTTGGCAAGAAGGCAGGACAGACGTATTTTCAACTGAGGCATTCTGGATGCCAAAATCCATGTTGGTGCTTTTATGATAAGAAGTCAAAGCAAAGTGTTTACTAAATCTTAAGAGTCAATCTAATTCAGCAGTTAAGAAGCACCTACCATCTCTTGGTTGTGATAAGGAGGCCAGAAATTC